ATGAGAATAAGAAAGTAAAAAAAACTGATTCAACAGATCAGCGGCAAACTTACAGAATTCAGGCGAAGGGTTGAGATTTGGGCTTCCAATTCAGCTATCTTGAATCAGGCAAAAAAATGGATTGAGAGGGTTATTTTACAAAAAGAAAAGACATTTGAATAAAAAAGTAGGATGGTATTCGTATGAATAAATCGAAGGTGAGTGATATCGCCGTTTTTGAGAAAAGCCGTAGATGGAAGGCATCGACATTCAGAAATTAGACAGAGATCCAATCATTCATCCACCTTTGAACGAGCTTCGTCAAGAGTCCTCCTCTCTGCCCCCATTTCTGAATATTTCCTATCTGACTCCTCTTCAGATGTCATCGTAGAGGCCGTCTTGGTGTCAGGGGTGGGTATTTGCGCCTTCAAAGGTTCACATTCTGAGCGCTGGGTATGGGTCTCTACTGCCCGGGAACGAAGTTCCGCCAGCTGGGCCTCCGCCTCCTTGTTAGCCTCTTTCTACAAGAAGTACGAGAGTTGCATTAAATAGTTCAGTGGTAGGCTACCCGACTCGACTTACAGCAATGTCGAGAGCGTCCTGTAGGTGGATGAGGCGATCCTTCAAAACGGCATTCTGCTCCATGGCACGGCTTAGAGCGGTGCGTTCAGAAGTAGCGGTAGCGAGTACCGCCTCTCGATCCGCCACTCGCCCCTCAGCCAAAGAAAGAGCCTCCATGGTCTCACTCAGCCGCTCCGACAACTCGTTCACCTGCGGAAAAGAAAATGAGCTTATGAGCAGCAGTACCTCCACCGATTTACACGCTAGTAAAAGATTTCAGTAGACACTTGTCCCTTACCTCGGCAGACGATTAAAGCATGAATTGACGGATGGATCAGAAATGAATAAGTTGATCTGAGAAAGATGAACTGCAGGACAAAGACGAGTAAACAAAGGTTTTGTGGTTTGGAGCCGGCTGAATAAGGGTTGATTGGGTGGATGGATATGAGATAAATGAATAGATAAACATAGCAGGAATAAAGTATGGAAAGGCGAGGCAGCGATGAATGGATCAGTGAGAGGATTATCCTATGTTAAATGGCCAGTCAATGGATGCTGGCACCCAGAATGGATAGACACGGAATAAATTGATGGATGGATTAGAAGTGAAGGAGTAGACGGGTGGATCCAATAGAAATGGAACGATCTGGAGTAGGATCAGTGATGAGTGAGTGGATGGCTGGCTGACTGGCTTCGCAATGAATAGGAAATAAATAAGCAAATGAATTTAAGATGGAGGAATAGGTGATAGGCTGGAGATTGAATGAGTCAAGAGTGTATGGAAGTGAAATGGGGCTAGGTGAGGTGTTAATAGTTCTGCATCCTTTACGTTGCATTCAGATGCGGATTGTAACACAAACGACCAAAATTGGAAGAAAATCAACCACGAGTAAAATACTTAGAGGACGAGTTGAGAGCTGTACCAAGGATAAATAAAAGAACGGTTCGGTGATGGACTATTTAGGAGTTGACGAATCAAGGATGGGAGAAATCGGAGATGAAAGAGATGGAAGAAACGAGGATGATCACGTTTATCTCGAGTAAGCCATTCAAACGAATGGCTCGAGAATTGATGGATGAAGGATGCACCAAAGATGAAATAGCTTGATAGACCAAGGGATGAGAGATAGGCCAAAGATGAATGAATCAATGGATGACCTGGGGATGAACTAATGTCTACGTAGGTAACAACAATTGTCTTTGAACGAATCCTAGTGAACACAATGCACTGCATAAAAGTCTTAATCGGATCACTCATAAATGCGGTATCACCTTGTTTCTCAAAGCATCAGTTGTTAACTCGAGATCCTTGTAGAAGACGGATTGTTTGACCTCCGCCTCGCTTAGCGGAGTCCTTTCAGTCGATGATTCCAACGTCGCGACGGTGGCTGCAGTCACTTTTGTGTCCGTCGAATTAGCAGCAGCAGCAGCGCCCCGAATCGCCTGCTTCGTTCGCAAACGCTCTACTTCACTCACTGTAGAAAGGAAAATGGGAAAATTGCGTGATTTCACACACTCTAGCCGGTGGAAAAACGACCATTACAATGAGTCACCCCAGCGCAGCAAAACACAAGCCTGTCATCAATTCTCATTTTATGCAAAAATTTACCCATGGAAGCAAAAAAAATTCAGCCTTATTCACCTCCCTCTCCATTACCCATTTATTCCTCACTCGCCATGTGATAGTCTAATGCCAAGAAGAAGTTTCAATTAGTCAAAGAAACATCGACAGGAGACGACGAAGAGTTAAAATGAGAGTATCTCCCCTTACACCAGCTCAACTACTACTTTGTGATGTGGTGGTAGCAAAAAAGGAGGGAAAAGTAGCAGGAAGCATTGCGCTGATGCGTATCCATGATGAATACCAACTAAATCCTCATTTTGCAGGACAAAAAATAAGGCGTCTTGTAGTAAATACGTTACGCGAGTAATGGTTTTGGCATCACACAGACCCTACCAGCGTCCGTGAGTTCGCTCTCTTTGATCGTGAGCTGGCGTCGTAGATCCTCCAGAGTCTGCTGCAAACCCTCGGCTTTTGTGTTCGACTTCTCCATTTGGGTGCGGAGATTGGCAACCTGCGTTTCCATCTAAAAGTAGGAGAAGATATTCCAACCAATCAAAACGAGAAGAGCACTCAGTAGCAAAACTAAGAAATGATAGCCATTCATTTTAAATAAAAGTGAAAACTTGAAGTGATCCACAGTAGATGAAAGTGCTTTTGACAAGAGGAAGAAGTTCTGATGTGATTTCTTCCTGACTGCGATTTCGGATTTGTTTTAATGCTGCCCAGCTGTCTATCGGATGGGTCGTAAACTCCCAGTACTTAACTCAATTTCAACAGGAAGTTCGGAGACAGATGTCATCCAGCTTGTGAACAAATTCAGATTAGCCAACTCAAATCTCGAAGTACCGTCGACCGCTGGTTTCTTTTGCTCAAGAATCAGTGTAATTCCGTAAAAAGTCCAACTGAGAATTTGGAAGACACTTCTGTAACACAAAGCCCTGTAAGGTGACATGTCAATTCACCTTGATTTTGACAGTAGAGGAGCTCGTAGCCAACAGGCTAATTTATAATATTTACGAGTTTATTTGCAAACAGAAACGTCTCATGGCTTTGCCATTAAGAATTCAGAACTGGAGAGGTAAAATCGCTGATATTATGACTAGTCTTATTCAATCCGATACCATTAAAAAAATTTGAGTGGTAAACACATAAGTACATTAATTCGACCCAATACTTATGGTAACCTTGACAACATGAAATTCATGATTAAAGACAACCAGTTCGTCAAAACCTTGCATGGTAATTGCCTTCTTTCATTGGTTGACGAGGAAAAAAAACGCCGTGACCCAATTAAAGCGCTCCCTGAGTGAAAGAAAAACACTCGCGCCCAATCAAAAAAAAAAAATAAAACAACAAATAACGCTCCCCTATCGTAATAGATACAAAAAAGATGCCCTACATCCGCCACATAGGCCTTGTACTGCGATTCCAGGCGGGCCTTTTCCGCCGAAGTATGCACCTCCGTGGTTTCCAAATCGTGGATGCGAGATCGAAGAGACTCGCAACGAGTGCAGGGCACTGTGGAGGGAGATTTCGACTGGGCAAGGGTCGCTGCTGGTGTACCAGGCTTGGGGGTGGGTGCAACACCAGATTTTGAAAAGGCCTGCAGAGGGAAAAGTTGAAGGTTGGATAAACAACCATCGACTCAGTTAGCTCAGCCGGAAAATTTACAAGACATCTCATTAATCATCAATTTACGTGAGCCTCGTGAACGTATCATTGAAGCTTACCTAAAGCTATCACCTCGGATAGTGAGGAATTATGAAAGGCTTGTATGATAATGTCACAAGATGCCTGAGCCGACCAGGCGCTTGACTAAATATGGCGGTGAAGGCACTTTCCAAGCTGTAAACCAAAAGTATCCTGAATGGTACGATTTGTCAAAAACTGAGACAAGGTATGTGGAGAGGTCACTGTGTTTACAGAAACACTTGCCTGTTTAGATGCACAGGTGAGGTCTCACACCGATTAGTTAGTAGCAACAACAGTCAAATAAAAGCTAGAACTACCTTTAGAGGTTTGGAAGGGAACGATTTACCTAAGGAGCAAGTGGTTACAAAAATAGTAAATTTTAAAAAACAATCTTTTACCATGGCGACATCCAGTTGCCTGCGGAGATCATCATTAGAGAGAGTGACTTGTTTCATATCAGACGCTAGACGAACGAGCTTCTCCTCGCGAGTCTTCACCTCCACCTCAAGGCGTTTTCGAAGGTCCTTCTCCCGTTTCGTTTCAACACGCCACTGCTCCAACTGGAAGTAAAGTAAGAAAAAACTTTGTCAAGATGCTTTCAGTCGCCTGCAAATTGACCCTTGCAGTAGTGGCATGGAGCTATGCTCATATCACATCAAGACAGCCAGTTCCCTTGTCACTCCGTCAGTTGACAGCAAATCCGTATCCAGACCAATACGCTTCCTAATGTCTTCAGAAAGGTCTCAAACACTCCACGCCACAAAGCGAATGCAACAGATGTGATTAGATGAATTTGCGAAGACGAAAGGGACGTTGAAATCTCCCAGACCTTTGGTGAATGCCGCAATCTCGAGGAAATTACATTAGAGTGTAAAGAAAAGGGAGATAAGACTAAGGCGAGTTGAAATCTTAATCGAAAGGACAAAAACCAAGCCTAAAATTATGGCGGTAATCTGAAGCCAAAAGATGCCCCCACAGTATAGATGTTTTACCGTCCCAATATGACACCGGTTGCCACCAATTCACTCAAATGACGCTGATAAACTAAAAAAAATTTATTAAACTCAGAACAAGAAAATTTTACACTTATTGTTTCAAACTCAATTATTTGGTATGCGACATGATTTGATGCAAGGGATTATCATAAATGGAAAAAGGACAGAAGTCACACGCTTGTGACACCCAGCTCAGGGGAGGAAATAGTGGCGCCACATATGTGTACTAATGGAAGTTTACAGCTCAAGCCATTAAAATTGCTGGTCAAGTAGCCTACCTGGCGCAGGGCCTCGTCTTTCGCCGCCTCGCTGTGAGAGGAGGCGCTTTTGGCCAGTTGAAGCGCGTCCTCAGCCTCTCTTAGTTTGGCGCGCGCTTCATTGCGACTGTAGGTGAGAGATTGAACTTCCTGACACCGCGCCTCCGTCGCCCGCTCCATGTGCGCCAGCTTAGCCTCCAATTCTGTCTTCTCCGCCACCAGCGCACCCACCGTCTGCGAATGCGCTCGCACCTACAAAAGTTAGGAGAACAAGCAACTAACGAGAAGCTACAGAAGCGTCCCCACCTTAACCGTCGTCTATGTATGAGTTGGGAAAAGCCGCCATTCCACCCCCGATGCTTTCCAATAGCCGTAAAATTAGATGTTTTCTGTCTCAGTGTCTTCCTCGTCTATCAGTTTCCCGTAAATCAGCCCCAATGACAATGGAACCAAGCTACAGTTATGCTACATAGGCCAACAATACTTTTACAGTGAAGTCTGTATGTGCTAGAACTTATTCATAGGCAACACAGGTGAGAATATTCTCTCCTACAAAAAATACGCTGTAATTAACTGGTAAAAAAGTATTAGAATGACCGGAGTCAATCACGATAGGCGTGGAGATTGCAATGCAGCAGAATGAATGCTGATGCGCTTAGTAGCCATCGTCTTGCTTTGAGCGATGGCTCGATATACTTGTTTATCGCACTTTTGTACGGGTAATATGATATTTCGGCTTGACTATAGTCTGACGGATGCAGATTCCGGCCTCCATTGTCTGTTTGCCTGATATGGTTGCACTAAGTCACCTCACCCCCTATATGTCCCTAACCTACCTCCGTCTTCAGCGTTTAAATGCTATCTGGAAGAGGGAGGATGATAGAATGGACAAGAGATCGGTGGCATCAGAGATTGACTGATGCCTTCCATAAAATGGAACATTTTGGGGATTAACTGCAGGAACCATGGAGACCTATCCATCCATGTTAAACCAGCTTATTTTAGCACTTGGACGAAATGAGGCTACTCCTCTGTACTCTCCCCGCTTTACATACTTCATAGATTAGTTACTCCCACCACATCTACAGCAGAAGGGTAACGATAAAACCGAAAAGCCATTGCTACTACTTTTACCCACCTGGTCCCTAGCCTTGGCCAACTCGCGTTGGGTTGAGACTTCGAGGGCGCGTTTCTCTTCCTCCTTTGAGAGCTGCAGTCGATGCAGCTGGTCGCGTAGCGACGACATCATTGCTACCGCCCTATCATGCTTCTCATTCCTCTGCTCTAGCAGGGCTGCCAGCTCCACATTGCGTTGCTAGGATGCAGAAGAAAAGGCGTAACAGAATTCCGTTTGTAACCACGCAGGCTCTTTGGTTACCAAGATTTTTACCATTGTCTTGCCTACAAAAATCCAGACAGACGGTTGAGTAACAATGAAATATGGATACGGTGTTTCATGGAGTGACATCCTGATACTGGAAATGCACCGCCCGTAGAGCATCATCCAACTTCGAGCATCAACTAGCAGGTAAACCCCTCCAAAGCTGCTCGTAATGGATGAATCTATCAAAATCTACGGCAAGAATCTTACTACAGGGATTGGAAATCATCGCATTGTCTCTGCCTCCGTCTCATCAATAGCTTAAGGCACCCAACTACACCAAAATGAGCAGAGTGAGCACTAAAAGAGGCGTTCAAAATAGCTTTCATGTAATCACATATTGTCCTGGGCTAAGAAGTCACTTCCACAAATAATACGCATGCCTTGCAGTTCCATTGCTACGATGCCGATCGCGTGATAATGTACGTACCAACAGCAGAGCTCCATAATTTTGATAATCCTGTCATGTTACTGAAAGACTTACCAATGGAGAGCTTAATAATTTAAATTTCACAGGGGAGGAAATTCAAAATTTTGCTCAAACAAGTAACATTAACACATTCTCTCCCAGCGTCACAAATATGTGACGCGCGATCCTTACCAGTTTACAAATAACTAAGACTTGTGCCACAAGCGAGACGATTAACTTCAAAATGAAAAGAGAACCATTATTTGGTCTTAGGCTGAGGGTAAGTACATTTCCAAGGGTTAATGAGCACCATAACTTGAAACAAAACGCTTTTTGCGGACTGCTACATCATTCACGACAGGTTGAACGCTTCTAAATTGCAATGGCGTAATGTAAGCGCAATTTTCAAACAAACAGTGGAATGTGGCTACTTTCAGGGAGGAATGCATTTCACTACAATGATGGAAAAGTAATTGACAAAGACGAGAATAGGGATGCAACTTACTGGAAAGAGTGAAGAAAAAGCTGATTGGATGCGATTTTCTTAGGAGTATGGTAGTAGCACAACCGGGTACACGCACACCCACACAGGCAGTCGTAGGTGAAGTAGACTTATTAGCTAGTAGGTGGCATACAAGGCTGTTTAAGCCATAGTGGAACTTGGAGGATTGTAGAAGTCGGAGGAAATTACAATCCAAGGAGTGAAAGTTTCACCTATTTTTGGCATGGTCTCCTACCCATAAATTTGTACCCACAACATCTTGGTGTTATTACGGTCGGATAAGCCTAGGTTAACCTGTTCTACTTCCTCAGTAATACGCAGCATGAATTAACCTTTTAGACCTGCAAATAATCGGGTTCGACGTCCCCAGAGGAAGATTCACTTCGGGTGCAAATTTCAAAATAGGCGTTCCATGCGCAGACCGTTCCCAGAGTAGTCAGTGAAGCTATGGGCTGGGAACCACAACAGCGGGAACCGGCAATAACAGGCAGATTTAGGGCCTCCTTTGAAACGTTTAAACGACTTAATGAGACTGGAAATATCATTGCTGTACCTCCGGGCTTGAAGACTTCTGTACAAGCAGATATCCACGAGCTCAGATTTTGCACCTCCGTTTAAAAGCAACTTCGTTACTCGTTGTTGCTTTTATACACCATTACTGCTACCTTCTACCTTGATTAACGGCCCATAAGATGGCTTAAGACAGGTGCGCCAACGTCAACTCAAATGGTACATCCGACCTTTCAATTAGTAATCTCTAACAATCCACCGAAAAGAAATATAAGCTAAATGTTTCGTTTTTATAACTTTTGTGCTAGTGGACAAGTAGACAGAAATTAATGAACGTGCAAGAGACTCGATCATGATAGGTCGAAAACTGAGAACTTGAATTAATTGTAGTTAAAAGAAATTTTTAGATATAGCAAAATAAATTGTACACTACTGGTTAAAGATCAGATAACTAGACGATCTGCGCAGTAAAATCCACACTCACCTGTAATTCTCGAATAAGGATAGAACTGGCAGAAGGCGAGGTAAACCCATTTCCCTCCCAGCTGTTGGGAAGAGAGAGGTGGGATGCAGTTCTGAAGTTACTCCTCCTACCAGAAACTTCATCCAAGGGTGAAAAAGCGGCGTTAGCTACTTCAGAAGACGTTTGGGAGTGGTGCCCTACGTAGTCGAAATTCGATGAAAGCAGATGATTTAACTCCTGGGAGATCTGTGCCGCCTTCTCTGTTGCTGATGTGGTGCTGCCAAAAGAACCAAAATAACGTTACCACACAAAGCACTCCAGGAAACGCTAAAATACCGTTTGTAGATGACATACATTCCGTTGATGAGCGAAAAACCACCATAATCATTCGCCGATTGACTCCTATAATACTTGGTTTTCAGATTATACTCTACTTACGGATTATTGTACGCTACAAAATTAGAAGGACCCAAAGGGGTAAATCCTTGTGAATGGTACTGATCGGAAGTATTAACGACATCATGGGGGAGATGCACAGGCACCTCCGACGAAGGATACTGAGGCAGATTAGTAATGAGAAATGGACTAGTCCCGTTCGTTACATTATCATTGCTAAAAAAGTGAGTACGCATAACTCGTCCACTTACCATCCGTTCATAATTGAGTGAGACAGTTGAGAGGTCTATATGGGAAAAAATGCCATCATGCAACAATATATAACTGCAAATCAGAACCACTTGTGGCTTACGGGTAGCAAACGCTCAACACTTGCTATTGGATCAAAGTAACAAATTTAAGATTTATAGAATTATTAAATGTAGGCAAAATGTAGCATTGGACATGCGCTTAATATTTACGTCATTTGATCCACGTGTCAGGGAATCAACGCTGTTTTGCTGTTGGCTTTGCGCAGAGCGAAATTCTTGGAGCTGGCTTAGATAAAATGGTAAATAGTGTGGAGTACCTTGCGCCTAGCATTTTCCAATCTTTCCTCTCTGGACAGCTGGGACATGCTTAATCTTAGCGCAGTCGCGGATGCGTAGTAAAACAAAAGCAGCATGTGAATTTTTTACATTTTTTGAATCGAATTAGGCTGATTCCTGCAAGGCTATTACTCCATCACATTTGTTAGGATACACGAAATATCTGACTTTCGTGGCATGCTTGAGGAATATTTCACTTTTTGTTATCCAAAAATATTCTTATCCCTGTGGAAGATAAGTATGATTTTGGCTGCATATTCTCCTCTTTTAGCCTCCCAGCACTTCCCTGAAGAAGAAAGTAGACATAATACTTGGGCGAAGTGCATATATTTCTGGCATACAGGGAGTAGTTGTGCTACCGGCATGGCCCTGAACTCAGCCCACTCAGCGAAAGCTCAGTTGCCAAGCCTCAAATTAGCCCTTTTCCAAGATCCGAGTGCTAAACAAACACTCAAGGTATTGTACAGCCGTCTTCATCCTTGAGCGTCGATGTACCCACGAGACGGCCAAGCCACTCATCAAATTAGCGTGCAGCTGAGGAACTATTTGACCACAAATTCAGTGATTCCTCTTGGCCACTCAACTGCATCTAGGTTTTGTTCGGTTTGGTAAACGCTTTCAGGGCCGGGGAATTGTGCAGGCCATTATGCGTGTCCATTGATAGACGTAGGAACACTGGCCCGAAGGCAGATGCGTGTAAGGAAGGATGTGATTCAAAACATGTCCGTGGAGAGGGAGTTTTGCGTCTGTTCTTCCTTACCGCATTGCTTTTATTTCGGAGCTGGCCAGTCGTATCTATCCGGGCTCTATCCAGCTGGTAGGGAAATTGAGGGGGTATCGCGAGTTTACTTTATCAGTAGCTTTAAGCGGATACGGTAGGGAGGCTCTGTAACGAAACTTCCAAATGGTTCATGACTAGTGTCTCTTCAGTTGTCAATAGCTTCCCGCGGAATACGGGACTGGAGTAACTGCCGAACGTAGACGTTAATTTTATCCTTTCCGTTCGGGGTCATCACCGATTCTCCCACCTGTAGAATATGTACTTCTTCCACCCCACTGGGGTTTATCACCCAGCAGTAGAAATCAGGATAGATGCCCCCTAAGATTAGGTGCGCTTTCCCCTGCCACCAGCGAAGTGCCCCCAAGATTTCCCTGAAGACGAAGGAAGACACAACGCTCGGCCAGAACACATATGTTCGACATACAGGGGTTTTAGAGCGACTGGCATGTCCAAAAGTCTAGCCCACGGGGCGAGTTACAATAGCCAATGCAAAAAGTGGCCCTTTACCAATACTGACCGTTAAACAACCAACGGATTGCGCTCCTTCCTGTGGTACGGACATCGCGCATAATCACCATGTCAAATACGCAGACAATAGCAAAATGATTTTAGGAATTCGAGAAAAACAAACTCACCGCGTCCTTAGTTCCAATGTCTGTGATGCATATTGGCTGTGGCGCCCACTGGCAGCACCGACACCTATCCCACACCAGCGACATCCGCGTTCAAGGTGAAAAACCCGCAACCGCTATCAAATCACATGGTAACAAAAAGCAAAATCCTTTGTAAGCAATTTACTGGCGTAAACACAAGAGGCCGATACACATCCCAAAAAAAGAATGTCTAAAAGAAGGTAGAATGCAAGTGTGGATTGGAAAGAAAACAGAGGCATAGGTGGAACAGACAGTCCAGCTAACATTCCTTTATTGTTTGTTCGCTTCACTCTGGCGACTTTTTGCTCTGCTGTTTCGCAATGATCTCATCCACATCCGAACCCTCTTCCTCCTCTTCTGCCTGATGATCCGTGTCCATCGGTTCCGCAACGGGCTGCCCCTGACTCTGGGTCGTAGCTGTCACCTCACCACTTCCTGCCGTGGCAGTCGCCGTGGTAGTAGTGTTGGTCGTGCCAGTCGCCGAAGCAGCGGCTGTCGTAGCTTCGGGAACTGCGTCATCCTCCGTCCACACGAAGGACTCCGGTGGTGCCGGTTCATGCTGCTGCTGCGATGTCGATGTGGATGTGCCGGCGGTAGCAGATCCACCTCCACCTGACTTCGACCCTGCTCCTCGATGCCCCCGTGGTCTCGTCTCGTAGTCCTCGGCATCCTCATCTAACATTGCCTCTTCAACATCTACATCGTCCACATCATCCTCGTCGTCTTCCGACATGGAACCACCCTCATCGTCCTCGTCTTCATCCTCAACATCGTCGTCCTCATCATCGTCATCTACATCGTCCTCGTCTTCATCTTCGTCATCATCGTCTTCTAACAGAGCTCCCACCGTGGACGCGTGGACAGGTTGATCAGGGGCGGTTTCCTCGGCAAGTCCACCGGTACCACTCGGTCCTTGATCATCCGCACCACTGGCGCCACCACCACTAGCCTTGGAACCCCCCTTTCCAGCTCGAGTCGAAACCACAGGACCGTGGGGCTGAACAGCCTCAACGAGAACCTCCTTCTCATCGGGCCTCCGATCGTGGAAAAGGAGAATTCCGGCCTGGGTGATCGGCTTGATGGAGTAGTATCGACAATCTTCAGGGAGAGAGAGCACTCGCTGTTGAGCTCGCAAAACGCGTGCTGGATTTGAGAGCATTGAGAAGGAGGGTTCCTACCAGAATGGAAGTAGTATTAGACTCATTCAATCATTCAAGTAAAGTGTCCTACCTTCTCCTCCTTCTCCTTTTTTGCAGCAGCACCAGCTGCGGAAATCGGGGGCTGATTATCGCTACAAGAGAACGCGCAACCACTCATATTTTGACATATCCAAGAGATAGAGAAGAGTTCGCGCAAACTTACACATCCATCTTCTCGACAACTGCCGTGTCACTAGCTGCGGGTTTCTTTTTCTCCAATTCTTTCTTCTTATGCTTAGCGGTGATGCTAAGAATAGCCGTCTCTACCTTTTCCTTCTTTTTTTCCTTCTCAATTGCTAAAAAAAGAGAAGTCGATAAGACTGTAATTAATACCACCTATGTATCAGGAGAGCCGATTAATTAAATGATTCAATGTTTACGTAGAGGTGGTGGGTAAGCAAACATGGATGGCTTGGCATTCGACTTGAATTGCATCTGTGGCATTTGAAGATCCTTATTCAACGCGATGATCGCAGTAGGCGAAAAGGCCAAGCTAATGAAGTTGGTCAAAGGATACCAGAACCAAAAGTTCTGGAAAACAAGCAATCCCACAGCAGCAACCATGTTGGTATTCCCAGTACGAGTCTGCAGCGAGATAGTCATATTGCAGCCACCAGCGTCGAGAATTCCGCAGGCCAAAATAGCGCCAAATTTGGCCAGTAGATCCTCATGGCGGTCGGAGATTATTTTGAGGCAGCGCTCTCGAAATTCTGAGGACTTGGGGCAGGAAACGGCATTCTGTTGCATAAAAACCATCGCCATGGCGATTAGCGCTCCCTGACGGACGAAATGAACTGTACCATCGAGGAGTTGCTCCAGCAAGGAGATGGCTTCCTTATTAGCGGTCCCAGCACAGGCGATACCTAGAGCCATGGCAGCGCCGTAACGAAGATGTGGGTGATATGATTCAGCAAGGAGTGACACCAGAGAGGGAACTTTGTCTGCATCCCTGAAGGAGAACACGAAAACCAATGAAGGTCGTGTTAACATAAGGAGATGAGAAGGAAAAAGGGATAGCAGACTTGCTTGAACATAACAAAACCGAGAGCGGTGAGAGCCCACCGACGGACATCGTCGTTGGTATCGCTGACAGCAGCATGCAGGAGCTTCTCAATGGCCGAGTTGCTATTTGTCCCACAGTAGGCCATGGCAATTGTGGCCATTCCACACCACCGCAGGATGGGATCAGTCTCCTGAATGAGGTTACCAATCAGTTCGTCAGCGTCCTCGCGTTTGCCGTACATGATAAGAGCGATGCCCAGAGCAATACCACGCATGATTTTCTCGTGTGAAGTGTCCACCGTGTAGCTGAGGAGGTCGTTCACTGCTGTAGTGGATCCTGTGCCCAGCATTACCAGACCCATAGCCAGACCAGCAGCTTCTCCTATTTATGGGAGAGAAGATTTTAGACTGCACCGAAACCTCAACTGGCATAAATGATAAGCAATGATAACAAATTTAAAAAAAACCTTTTCGTATACTAGTAACAAGCTCATAAAGTTCATAGACCGGACATATTTGAAATAAAAATTTGAACTAACAATTTCATCACCAGTGAACCCCATCTAGTGGGTGCAAAATCGACTATTAAAAAAACACAGGGGTTAAAAGTACTTTCCATTCCTGACAGCATCGATGACGCACGCACGAGAGGGACAGTGATTCTTTTCGAAAACTGTTAACTTCATAATTTATTCTTATTTCCGACTAAGGTGAGTTGAGTAGTCAAATGAAAAACCAGTATAAGTTACAGCCTTCAATTGACAAAATCACTAGCAAAATGACGAAGCTAAAAATTGGCTTTGAACAGAGGCACTGGAAATTTATTTAAAAACAAGAAACGTGACTCAATATTTTGCCCACCTATGAATATACGGCATCACATCTTACCAGCATTCATATACGAGCATGAAAATTATGTTTTTAAAACAAAAAGACAAAGCTTCAAATCCTGAAGTAGTAAAAGTGGGAAAAAAGGGTCAGTTAGCAGTGTTGATGGTGAAGTGCGGCTAAGCATCACCTTTAAAATTTGATAACATACACAACGCTGTACGGAAACAAAAAAATGATTAAAGATGGCACTAATCAGTAATTTAAAATCCTATGAATTTGAAGAAATTGGAAGCAAATGACCCGAGCCTACAGAGCCAAACTTAAAGTGTACATCGATATTTAAATCAAATAGGCGGCAAAAAAAATGCATATTTGAGTGTCATTTAAAAAAGTTATTAACAATTGAAATCGAGTAAGTAGTGTGAATTGATAAGTAAGCACTAAAGTCCAAAATACTAGGTTTAATAAGCAGGGAAGATGAGATACAGTTTGATTACATCCTTGATGTCAGAGTTATCAAAGAAGCAAAATCAGTGGAGAGAAAATTGTTTGAAATAACATCAAAAGAACTGACCAGTGATGGCATCATCCTGGAACAGGTGCTGTTTGATCTGCTCGTAAATATCTTCTCGACCAGTACCCATAGCAGCCAAGCCAAGACCCAAACAGGCGCCATGACGCACAGGCTCTGCTATAGCCTCCTTGCACTGAGTCAGGAGGTAATCTGAATCCCAAAAAACCACAAATTTGCAAGAGTAGGGCTCAATAAGCAAAAAAGGGGAAATTTGAAATAATTTTCAAGGCCTACCAGTCATTGTGCCGCCGTGATTAGCGTGGATTAGACCCAGAGCATACAAACCTCCACCCTCAGTGTAGACACTACTGGAAGATCCACTAGAATCCTTCGGAAGGTAGGCGGACATAAGACGAAGCGCCTCTTTTTCGTTTCCTATTTAAAAGGAATTGGCAATACACTTCCGAAAATAAGAGCATGAAAAGAAGATAGGGTGGGTACCTCGATGTATGACACCAAGAGTAGCAGTTGCTGTAAACTTGGCCCAGTTGACAGCCTTGCCCAGCCATGTGAGATGATCACGGAGAAACTGGTCCGAAGTGGTTCCACAATGCATCAAACTGTTGGCAATTACAGTGGCGTTATGTGTAACTGAATTACGGACATCCTCCTTAATTCGTTCAAGCAAGCGCAAGTCGGCCTTGTTGTTACGGATAAGGAATTGCAGATGAAGTTCAATCACCTAATGGGAAAAAAAAACTTAAAATTAAGCGGTAACATAATCGAAACACGCGCAACTTAGCTTACTTTATCACCAGAGAGAATGCTCTTAAGTAGTTCGAGACGATTCTTGATAGCTTTATCTTTGCTAGAAAGTTCAGTTTTAAAATCCTCCTCAGAAGGCTGTTCAGCAGGACCGGGTTCACCAGTGGCTCCCTCTTCCGGTTTTTTTGTATCCCCCTCCTCGTTTCCAGCGGGTTTCGGACGCACCATCAAGTGCCCAATCTTTTCACTGTGCGACAAAGTATCGGACACCTGATGTAAAAACTCCTGCGTGGCATTTTCGTAGAGGTCGAAGCCGATTTGATAGGCAGTGACAGCCGCTTCTTCGGACAATAAAATCAAGCCTTCAAGAGCCTCAGCAGTGGCCTAAAAATCAAAACACTGGATTAAATTTAGTTGATTTGGCTTGAATTCCCTACTATCTTTAAAGCTACCTTTGAATCATCCATGAGAACAAGACATTGGCAGATATGAACGGAATCAGCAGGTGTTGGGTTTTTACTGTATATACGAACAAGAATGCTCAATAAGCGGTTGCGTAGCTTAACACTGTCTACAAGTGTAAGAACCACTTTGAGCGCGTAACGCAACATGTCATCACGGTCTTCCGCCAGCGTGATAGCTTGTTCGAAAGTATCCTCTCTGGAACAAAGTCCAATTCAGTTACATAAGCCTACCTTCTCGTTTCAATGGCAATACCAAGTGCTTGCTTAAACTGCTTATGAGCAAAGCACCTGTTAAACATTCGGTTGACGACAGTTTCAAGTTGGAAGTAGGTACTGCCATCACCAACAGACCATTTCCTTCCACTTGATTTTAGGTCCTTTGCGGATAGCCTATGGCCTAGATTATTTTCATCTTCAGCACGAATGGAAGTGTATTTGTCAATGCATTTGGCTAAAACCATGTCAACAATAATAGAAGAGCATACTTATCATGGTTCTGACGTACTCCGATTTTGCGTTAGGGTCGAACAATTCCTCAGCACAAAGGGCAAAGTGCAGAGCATCATCATACTCACCAAGATTAAAATAAACTTTTGATGCAAGGAGGGCAGCCGCTTTATGATAGGCAAAAGTGGTGTCCTCATATAGTATTTCAATCTTATCAACTGACTCCGATATTTCAGCCCAAAATTCATCGACCAGGTCAGTTAAGCGTTTCAAAGCAAAGGCCTAGAGAAATGTAGTCAAACAATACGAAATTACCTTAATGTCTTGTCGTTCATCCTCCAGTAACGCGATAAAACCGGCCGCAGATGTCAATGCCATACCAAAACCTGCAATGGCGGGCTCTTAACCAACGTCGGCTAACAATGTACATGATCAAGACAGGCACGTGCCACCATGCAACAACTTTGTGGGTTTTTTGATAAAGGCATAAGGTATCTTAGCTGTGATCAGTTAAAGTAAGTGGGTTCAGATCAATAAAGCACTAATAAACTAAGCCTTTTACGAAATTTACTCCATCGACTAAGTAAAGCTTACACACGAAGTGACTAACCGACCTCTTTGAAAATGACGGTTAGAAAAATTACCTTGATAGTCTATTCAGTATAATCTAAAGTGAAAAGAAATTGTTTTTTTTGCAAAAATGCAACACAATTTTCACTAAGGTACAACCATTCTTATTTTTAAATTGACCTTAGCATAGAAAGTGTATTTAGAAGTAGTTATAGTTAGATTTCAAAGTATGCAAGGGGCTAAAGTTTACTAAATGTTCTCAAATATGCCAGATCTTAATGCCTTGCATTCTTAAAGACCTGCCTGTTGCATTCCTTCACAAATAGTTTTAACAAGTTTTCAGCATATGGCGTGAATCCCATACGCTAAACAAGAACAGTATTAGCCGGACCAACCAATGTTTCCTTGATTTACTACAGGTTAGGACTCGACCCACCTCCACTTTAGATGAAATACAGCCAGGCACCAAAACCAGCAAAGCCGCCCATCAACCCTGAAGTTGGTAGATCCAACAGCAAACTCACAAACAACAGTATAACAAATCCTCTAGTGTAAGACATCCATATACAAATGTGTACGTAAAATTCAAAATATGAATCCTCCTTTCAGTTCATCTGGGGAATAAATGTTTGTGCAGAATCGGTACTACAAGTGCTTCTCGCCGGTTCCATTACCGCTGTCTCCATTGCTGTCACCAGCCGTCCAGTCTCCTCCTGTTTGGGCGGCACACCTGGAGAAAATACGACTCAAATAAATTCAAAGTGAATGTACAGATCAACTCAGGTGATTAAAATGACCATATTACACTGTTTGTCAGAATTGTTCTGTATTTTCGTTCCCAGCCTAGCAGCCACCGCGGCTTCCAACCGTCTTGACAGACTCGCGCAATCCAACGCAATCGACTTGGTAATATTGTGGGTCTTGTAAATCCCCACCAACCTGTCTGCCAACTCAAACATGTTATTTCTCAACGAGATAATCACAAATTGCGCGTTCTTCGTCCTTTCCACTACATAGTTACCCACAATCGAGACGTTCTTAAAATCCAGCGCCGCGTCTATCTCATCCATCACATAGAGTGGTGTGGGCTTATAGTGATGCAGAGCGAAAACCAGGGCTAGGGAAGAAAGTGTCTTCTCTCCTCCTGATAGATTTGCAATACTCTTCCACGTCTTCTTCGGTGGACGGACGCTGAAAACGATGCCCTCGGAGAAGGGGTCCAGTGAGTCGATCAACTCCAATTCAGCATCTCCGCCTAAGGTTAAAATGAATAATCATGATAGGTGCCGAGGTGGACCTACCCTGCGTAAGCATCTGGTACATCTCCTTCAGTCGCGTCGTAATGATGTTGAAACCACTCATAAATTCACTGAGACGTTTAGTTTTGGCGTCAGCCTCCTGACGCAACTGCTCAGATCGCAGTTCCGTGACCTGATCCAACTCGGCCACACGTTTGAGGTAGAGATCGACCTTCTTACGATACTGTTCGATGGCGGACATGTTTGGTGCCATGGCTGCCGTCTGCTCCTCTAAACGGCGCACTTCTGCTTCGTTCACCTTCATTTCTACGAGTGAATGAATAAGGAACAGCAGATTAACTAAACCGGCCAGTACAGTTCGGGGTTCCAGTGAATTGTAAATCAGTTACGGACTATCATAGCTGGCAATATAATTGTGCTCAATAGATAGTCTAAGCAATGGGTAATGATGGAACTACAATAAAACCACAAATTCAAGAGTTCAAGGGCACGAGAAACAGGCCATTAAGATGAGCATTCACCAGCCAGTTGTTCCTCCGTATACACAGGTAGCTTCAAACTTTTCTCCTTCGAAGAGGAGGAAGTACAAGCATGACTTGAAGATATGGAGCAGGGTGTCACATCATCCATTGATTGGCTAGTACGCCTTCCACTTTCTACACCGTCTTCCGTCGTTCCTGCTTCCCCCTCGTCGTCATCATCATCTTCGATGGTGTGGAGTCGGAGGGAGCGCAGTTTCATCTGCCACCCTCTCGCCCGGCCACCGGCTTCCTTGGCCTGTGTGCGGAGCTCCTCAGCCTTGCGCTGCACTCCGACCTCCGCCTTTCGACTGGCAGCCAATGCGGTCTCCACCTTCTCGATCGCCTCGCCTACTGCCGACAATCCCTGAGTCAGATCTTTGATCTACGCAGGCAAGCAAAAAAAAAACGTCAACGACAGTATTTTGACGTTTAAGTACGACAACTAGAGCTACACTTTAAATTTGAATTTAGACAAAACTTAGACAACAAATGTCTTTTGAAGCATTTGAAAACTGTCCATAAAATTAGGAAGGTAAGCAACCATGGGGCGCCCTGATTCACGAGGAATGTACGCCTCAAAGTGGTTTTAGTAAGTTAAAAACAAATTTTATGTGAGAATTACTTAAACTCCTCAATTTAAATTCACTAATCTGCTTTTCCAGCACTTTATGAAGGTTATGAAAGGCTAGGACGCCAGCAGATTTTCTGATACCCCAAAAATCATCCTGCTACCAAGAGCTCACCGATTTGCAAAGCTCCCCAAAAATACCCAAAGCGAGTTCAACAATGGATGCCTCCTGTATTTATGAATCAGACTTATACGTTTAAGTTAGCATCCAATCAAGAAAGTATCAGTTTTAGCGCAATTTTTTTTCTATATGAAACCCCCCATCAAGAGCATAAAACTCTCTGAAGCTAAAAAACTCGTTCATATTCATAATCCAACAACAAACCTAGATTTGATGTAAAGTCCGTTCAAAAAATTAGTTACACCTTTCCCCTTTATGTTAAACCCCCAAAACATGCCTCACGAGTCATACATGAACCCGTCTGAAACAAAAAATATAAATTTGACACCTTCCTGACTGTTTACTCTGATGTTCTGGAAGTTCAAGGGGTAGACGCATGAATTCAGGAGCTCACCGTCTTTTGGAGCTCCTGAAACTCCTCCATGCAGACCTTGGCGGTTTTTTCAATCTCCACCATGCGAGCATCGATGGCGGTGAGTTTCGCCTTGAGGTTCTCCACCTCTTCCTCGTAAGCCTTCACCTTCGCCTCGCATTTTGCCTGATTGCGATGCGCTGACTTGATGTCCACCTCCAGCTTCGTGAAGAGATCATTGGTCTGAAGAAAGCGGGGAAGAAAAGGAGAATGTCAAAACCGGTGGTTCGAAAGAACATGTGGAATTGCTACATGTGGTTGCGATCGTCCCAATCATATATGCGCGTGATCAAGCCAGAGGCTAGGGATTACTACATCTCCAAGGACTCAGAATAGCTGAATAAAAACAAGGAAGATCAAAGTTGGCGGAGAGAATAAAGAGGAGAATTGTTTGAATGGATTAAGGACTAAAAACAGGAGTTTGGGCTGAATGACTCACATGTAATACAAATGGATCCAGCATGGATAGATGAATAACTCAGGGATGGATGAATAAATCAGAGATGGATGGATCATGGAGTATAACAAAACTATATCTGTACCTCACCTCCTTAATCTTCGACTCCACAAGTCCAACCCTTGATCGAACAGCGGCGAGTCTCGCGGAGCCAGCATCCACCAGATCCGTCTTCACCTCATCCACACGTTTACGCAAAACTTCTGCTTTTTCCGCCTTACTCGCATGCAGACGCTCTAAATTAGCCACTGATCCCTCCATCCTCTCTCGCTCCTTCGCCGAAGGTCCCGTTTGTGCCGCGCGAACTTCCGCCTGTGCTGCTTCCTGTTCCAGCACCTCTGCCTCCTCTCGTAGCCGCTCCATCTCGTTCTACCAGAACAGCCAAGCTTCTCAAAATAGGCTAGTAATTTGATAAATAAGTGCCCCGATTATTCAACTTACCTGACACTTCGTGACGACCCGTTGAGCCTCCTGAATGCGTTGCGAGAGTTGAGCCTCAGTATCTTCAAGCTGTTCACGACGCTGTCGAACCTTCGTAAGACGGACCTCGCAATCTGCGAGCTCAGTCTCCTTCTCTGCAATGAATGTCTCGGTAAAAAGCGGAACGCCGCTGCTACGACGACGCGCCTTCTGAGCGTCTGTGTTCATTCGGCCAGAGACCGGGCGTCCACTGCCGCCACCGGACATAGCTCCCGATGTCTCTATCAATTGACCCTAGTAAACAATAAGGGCACAAGCCACTACAGATGTGACTAAAAGGTGTCGGTAATGATTGGTACATTCATTAAGCAGAGGCAGACCACTGGCGACGACTGGATCCAATATGAATGGACAAATACAGGAATGGAATCAGGATGGATGAATACTTTACCGATAAATGGACCTGAGAGGATGAAATGATCACGTATAAGTGAACAAATCGGTGGGTCAAGGTGGTAAAAAGAGGATAAATCCATACGCGGGCCGCTAAAGATCATACCAATAAATACCGACAATGATGGATAGGGGATAGATGCGTGAATCAGAAATTTGTGAGGAGAACCAGACCACAGGAATAAGTGAATCGGAGAATAAGGAATCGATCAGCGGCAGACGAGTAGATCCTGAATGTATGACTCAAGAATAAAGGGGTAAATGAGGAATGGGTGGATGGTGAATGGACAAGTAAATGGATTGACAGCACAGAAAAAGATGAACTGATTGCTCTACGATGGATGCCCAGCCCAAGGATGAAAAAAACGAATTCAAGAGGAACGGATGTTTTAGCTTAAATGCATCAACATAACCATCAGCCACCTACCTGGAGAGTGACGACCCTGAAGCGGTTTTTGTGCTTGAAGGCCCAGTCGACCGCCACATCCAAATTATCCGCGATCAGGGTGTTACGGAGGGCGAAGTAGAAGCATGGTTTCACCCGCGGATTCACAGAGGTGTCCACTAAATCAAAGAGCCGTTGGGCCGACGGCACTGGCCCAACAAATGGCTTAGCCGCTTCTTTCGTCCAGCTCTGCATCTTGTCAAGAGCTAGAAAAAAAGCTTCCTTCTCTTGAGTCTGTTAGACAATTATCAGCAAGCGAATATCATCTGAAAATGAAATAATCTATCCATGGTTTGCTAGCGCCCTCTAAGGTCGAAAACCCGTTTGTCAGTAAAATCTAACTTTTGATTGATAGGTGGAGAAAAATTCAAATTGGGGTAGAATGTATGGGCAAGGAGTTGGATTCAGACTGTGTGAATCGGGAAAATCGGGCGGTTTGACCGTGTGTGGATGGATTTGTAGGTTGGAATTGAATTGAGGGTCCAGGGTAGTTCAAAGAATTAAACAACTCAAAAGTAGTGGACAGATCAGGATGAATGGATGGATCCCAAATGGATAGATGAATGAGTAGTTTGATAAAAAGGTGTATGATAATTGGCCAATTTTTGCATAAATGGAGACGACAAAAGAATTGGAAAAGAATTCAAGCTCACCGATAAAAGACGCCTGTCCAAGGCTGTGCTTCTTTAAATACTCAACAGCCCTTTGAGCAAGTTCCATAGTCTCCACAACAATGTGGTCTAAGGCACCACAGGATGTGGATATGGCGATGTCATATTTCTGCGGAATCACACCCAAATCTCCTAAACGTCCAATGATACCTTTCAACTTCCCTTCCTGGGCTGCCGTGGAAAGAGCTGTGAGGACACGATTTCGAGAATTGTCACTCTGGGAAGGAAAGTTGATCAAAATTAAAACGGCGCCTTAAAGCGAAAAGGCATTCTACATGTCAAAAAGGCTCACCTGGAAGGAGGACTTAGCCTCCATTAAAGAGGATCTAAGCTGGTTAACCCGCTCGACTAGTTGCTTCTCCTCAGCCTTAATCCGCTCCACCTCACTCCTCAATTTTTGCAGTTCCTTCAACTGTTGCGGTGTTACATTGCGCTTCGCCTCCGCCAACTGTCGCTCCCGCTCCGCCAATCGATCCCGGGCGGATTGAGCACCATCCCGCGCCCCTTTCGCCCTCTCCTCCTCCCGCCTCACCGCCGACATCGCGAGATCCAGCTCTTGTCGAGCGATTGCTAGCTTGGAAGCGGCCTCATCTGCCGCCTTCTGCACCGGTGCCAAAGCTGCTTCAGCTGCTTCCATCTTCTTCCGCAGCGGGGCTGTTTCCCGTGTTAAAATGTCCATTGTCTCCTTATATATCGCCTCCTGTTTCGCTCGATTGGCCTCCAACTCTGCCAGCTGCGCTTTCAACGTCTCTCTTCGCTCCTCTGCCTCTTCAGGTAAGCGACGGATCTCATCTAGCTTCTTCTTCTCCGCTGCTAACGCTTTTACTGTTCGTTTACCCTGGGCTTTGAGGTGAGCGTGCTCGTCACGCATTCGGCTGTCCTCAGCTTCGTATCCAGCGAATTGAGCCTTGGCAGCTCTATGCTGCTCCTGAAGAATGGAGGCTCGTTTTTCGTCCTCATCACGTTTGGATGTGAGCTTATGCAACTCCTCTACCAAGTCTGTTACTTCCTTGGTGAATTTCTAAAGGGGAGTCGAGAAGCGGTTGTGAGGGTTTCTAACAGCTAGACTATCAAGAATACACGATAACAACCCTTACCGCACTCTATAACGCAATACCCCGGATTACATATATGTCACCATCCTTCTCCTTCTCTATATCGTATTCACACACCCCTTAACCTCATCTCACATTCAAAACACTCGGCTGTTCTATCTATCTATGCCACAACTGGCTACCGATGTTATCTTCACGCAACAGGTAGTAGCAGAATGGCACCATGGAAGGGTGCAGGGCCCATAACCCTAGGGCCCATGGGCAGATCGACACCAGGCTCTGGTAATTTCCTGTTCGACCGGTTTATACTACATCAATCTTTTGTCAAGGTGAAGAGTCAAACTAAGACACCCGTTCACCTTTCCTCGAGTACACCTACACCTCTACCACTTCCTTACTTCTGGCACTATCAACGGTACCCACCAGCTAAATGAAGCTGAAAGTCAATGCAGGTATGCCAGCTACGGCAAAAGCTGAATTCGCAGAAGTTAAAATTACTAGAAAATGGGTAATAAGTTACCTCAACCTGCTGTTTTACAGTGACAAGTTCCTCGCGGAAGCGGGACTCATTTGCGAGCTCTTGATGTTGTTTTTTCTGGTAAATGACATTCTTAATACGCGTCATTTTGTTGATTAGTCGCAAATAGGCCACCGCCTCATCTTTTACCGTTTCAAGCTCATTTCTCTCCTTCTCCACTGCTTTCACACGGGCTAATTTCTCCAATCGAATGTCCTTCAACCGCTCAATACGGTCGGCCAAAATGGCCAACGGAAGTTTGAACCTATTCGAGCCAATAATGTCCTAGAAGTCTATTAAACCACCCAGTTACCAACCTCCAAGTACTCCAGGAAACCTGTCTCATATTCGGTTGTAGCTTTGGGTTTCATTAAAGAAATTTGTTCCACTTCCCCTTGTAAAATCAGGAACCGATTATGATCTAGATCGATGCCATGTTGACGAAGAAGACCAGTGACTTCTTTAAAACTGGCTTTGCAGTCGTTGATATAGTAAGAATTTGAGTTATCCTTAAAGGCTTTTCGGGAGATCACGAACTCACTTCCAGGAACAACTTCAAAGTCGTCAGCACGGTTACCGGTATCAACAATGCGCTGAAAGTAGACGGCAACTTGACAGAAATTGACATTGGGAAGATCATCACTGTTGTGAATAAGACTGCTGAGTTTTTTCGAACGCACTTTGGAGGCACGAAAACCGAAAACAAAAAGAAGGGCATCGATCACATTGCTCTTTCCGCTCCCATTGGGTCCAATGACACAGGTAAAGTTCTTGTGGAAAGGGCCAAGTACTCGACGACCGCCATAGGACTTAAAGTTCTCGCAGACAACTTGGGACAGAACAAGACGGGAATTATTTCCATCCGAGAGATGAAAAGGAAACTCGAGAGGTGGAATTTCGACGGGCGGGCAGTTATTGAGCAAATCTTCATCACTTATGGTCACTGGACGAGAGCCTTCTGCAGGCAGATCCATACGTCAACTGTGGGAACAGCGAAATTCTGGAAAATGCACTGGCAAATAAGTAATGGAATTCCAACGCAAAAAAATACGAGTTGAACCAAAAAGTACAAGTGCAAAGTAAAAATATGGGAAGAGAACTTATTAAAACAAAGTAGATTTTATCCAGTGCATACTAAAGTAAAAGTAATCACTAGAGATATAGCAAGAATCTGCTTGATCAACTCTAATCGAGCACCAACACCCTACCTAACACTGGTTGCATGACAGTCAAGAGCCAAAATTACACGAACAGATATTTAGAAAAATAGCACACATGACAGGTGTTGCTCTCAAGGGATAATCACAAAATGAATTGGTGTACATGACAAAAAATTAATAAATCGAAACCTAAAAGGATTATTAACGCGCCTAAAAGACCACAAATACACGAACGCCCATGAAATATATAAAATGCAATATTACACACACAACGTCACTGTACGCCCACTATTGGCTCGTTTAGAATAGCGCGATGATTTCGAACTGCACAACAATTTTGAAAAAAAACTTTAAAAATAAGAAGAACACTTTGTCCTGAAAAATGCTCTCACTCGATATTTCTCAGCAAGTAATTGTTGCCAGTTTGGGTTTTGCCTCCGTCAAGCTAGCTTTCTTTCCTTCGGAAGGTGTAGACGAAATAGATAGAAGCCTTCCTTATTATTAATGTTATAAATGGGATGCGGTTAAAATGGTTATACCTTAATCATCTAACTCTTTAGAGGTTAATAAAGCCTGCTTTGTAACGCAATTTTTGCCCAGTGTAAGATGTGTAAAGGATACAGTTAAAACTCTGTTAATATTCAGGATGGTATGAAAGGCTTTTGAAATCCCATTTTCACTTCTCTACATGTGGTTTTGTACTGAGTTAGCCTTTTTTACTATTTGGTCAAGCAGATCCTTCTGTCTTCCTAGTTTGTTCCCCTTGTCAGAGGCATGGCATCACAACTCTTTTGTACGTTAACACGTAGCATTATTCCTCCAGGCTACCTTGGCACGAACCCGAACAAAAAGATAAAAATAACCCAATCTCCATTGGTAAGTACCAAACTTCTCCTCTAAGGGCAATAGGATTTTTTACCTACACATGAGTGCGTGAAGTTTCCTAACAAAGGTGATTCGTACCATCACTCGCTACCTCATTCTCGTGATCTAGAAGAAGGCTTGTGACAAATTGAAGGGGTACGTGGCTTGAGTTTTTTTTAGTGAGTTTATTGTGGGGCTGCCTGTAGTTAATATTTAACGATGCTGATTGTACGAACATGTGTCATCCCTCCCCCCTTGTATTTACTAGCTAAAGTGAATTCGAGCTGAGATACATATAGACATATAGAAAGACAGATGGATGGATGGATGGATGGATGGATGGATGGATGGATACA